TCTTCTTGGGATTCAGCTTTTATGCAGTTAAGATCCTCTTCAACTGCAGAGCTGGAGTTATGGATAAGTACTCAGAACTGCTCAGGGGCATTTAATGCCCCTTTCCTTCAGATTTCTTGTAAGCAATTTATTTTCAAGCTTTCTAATCCTATGGACTAAAAAGTTCCACTGTCCTATGGAGATATAAAGAAGAAAAATAAACTTAATCCGTATGCCTGCCCCCAGTTTCTGATCAAGAAAGTAAAGGTGCTGGGATAAGCATCAATGACTTTTAAAAGTTAATGAAACATTTTGAAATTGTTAACAAAATTTATGGCCACAGAAATACTTATTTTTCAGGCACGTGGAAAACTGAAAACTAGGTTTTTTGTTTATTTGTTTGTTTGTAATTTAAAACCTCTGGGCAATAACTAGGCATAAAGCTTTTCTAATTACAGCTGATGGAACAATGCTCTCTGTAAATAAATATCACATAATGATTGTCTACAACAGTTGGGGGGCCACTAAAATTTTATAAAATTTGATTGTGTCCAGGTACATAAATAACTGTTGTGAAGCTAAACGCAAGAGCCTGGTGGCTCTCACATCATCACCAAGAAACTGAGCACCAGTTCGGAGAGACATTTAGCAAGGCTGATTTGCTATGTAATGAATGAAGACTCAGTGAAGCTTTTGCACAGCCCATCCAACATAACAGGTGACAAAGTCTGAATCCATTTTCAACGAAGATGGCAAATTAGCATACAGAGCAGGCCTCCATACAGTCCTCTAGCAAGGACAAGAGAATGAATGAATTTACATTTGTATAGGAGAAGGGACAGCTATTCCCAAGCCTCTCACTGAAAGGGACAAGCAACCCCACCACACACACAAACATCATTTCACTGGAGGCAAAATTACTGGAATAATGTGTAACATCTGGATGGAGGGGCAACAAAAGGAATCAGATTGGGGAGGAGGAAGGAATTATCCCAGTTTTTTGTTGTTTGCTTCCCAGTGCTTTAGAAATGAATGCCAGGCAGGCTTCTGACTTACCAAGGCAAACAGAATTCATCAGCCAAGCATCACCAAGAGCCAAATTTTTATTTAAAAAAACAAAAATGGAAGGGTGCCAATAAAAACACTGAGAACTCTACTCTGCATAGAGACATTGGAACAGGACAATGGTATACAATTGGACAGGGGCAGGAGTGGGGATCCTGTAGGCCTCCAAGTGCTGTTGGACTGCGAATCCCAGCAACTCCAGGCAGTATAGATAATGGTGAGGAATGCTGGGGGTTGCTGTCTGGCATCATGATCCCCACCTTTGGCCCCTGGGATGAATATGCTTTATCTTTCCCAAAACAACACAGAAGCAAATTATAAAACTTAACTGTTTATTACAGTGGTCTCTTCACATTCACTGGGGTTAGGGGTGAAGGACCTCTGTGAATGTTACTCTTTTCACCTGCAAGAACACCTCTCAAGGAATCTCCAGGTCCTCCAGTCAACATCTGCCAGAAGTTGATCATAGAATCATGCTGGAAGACCTACGAATGCCTAGAGAAATGTTTCTCTAGGAACTTCTAGGTTCCCCAGCATAACTGTATGGTCAATTTCTGGCACTAGAGGACCTAGAGATTCCTAGAGAGAACATATCAAAACTGCAAATAATCAAATCCACAAAAAGTCAAAGTCTTACAAAGGCAAAGGGCTTTGCCAACTTCTGCTTAAGAATGCTTTTACAAGAAGTAATGTAAACATTGAACTAGAGGGGACAGCACTGGATTTTTGACACACTAACAAGAGAGCCAGTACAATGTGGTCTGAGCACTGGATTACCACTCTGGAAACTAGGATTCAAATCCCCGCTCAGCCATCGAGACCCACTGAGACCTTGGGCGAAAGGCACACTCTTTCATTCTCAGAGGAAAACAAAGGCAATCCCTCTCTGAATAAATCTTGCCAAGAACACCCTGTGTTAGGTTCACCTTAGAATCACCGTAAATTTGAAAGCACACAAAAACAACACACTGAGACCTATTAATTTCCCCTATAACTATCTCTGCTCCAGCATGGTAAGCCTGCAGTATTAATTTGTCACCCAATGATACAAAGGTCATTAGCACATAGGCATTTATTTTCTAAATAGAATTAGATCAGTGATTCCCAAACTCGGGTCTCTCAAGTGTTTTAGGACTTCAGCTCCCAGATGTCTTAGCCATCTGGGAGCTAAAGTATAATACACCTGGAAGATCAGCGTTTGGGAATCACTGAATTAGATGATCAAATGGAGGACAGTTTCACCTATAGCCATGGTGCAGCAATGGCTATCAGATGCTGGAAGATTACAGCAGAGCCAGCATAAATACCCTAAAGGCACTAGATCCCATCTGATCTTGGAAAGTAAACAGGGTCAGCCCTGGCTAGTACTTGGATAGGAGACCACCAACAAATACCAGGTTCTGTAGGCTATATTTCAGAGGAATGAACTGGAAAAACCACCTCTTAAGTATTCCTTGCCTATCAAAACCCTATACTGGGTTATCAAAACTGGGCCTATCAAAACTCACTACATCAGGGGTAGACAACCTAAGGCCCAGGGGCCGGATGCGGCTCCCCAAGGCCTTTGGACCGGCCCCAGGCCGGTCCTGCCACCACCGCCAGCCCCCGCTGCCCCCCACCGCCACCCACTACGATATTGATTATTGTTGTTATTACTTGTTCTTGGGGTTTTCTTGGCAAAATCTCCACAGGGGTTTTGCCATGGCATTTCTGGGGCTGAGAGAGTGTGCATGCATATTTTTTAAATTTTTAATTTTTTTTAAATTTTTTATTTTAATTTTAATTTTTTTAATTTTTTATTTTTGGTGCTTCGGCCCCCCAATTGTCTGAAGGACAGCAACCCGGCCCCCGGCTCAAAAAGGTTGCCTACCCCTGCACTAGATACTTAACTAGATAAACTACTGATCTGTAACAGCATGGGGGGGTTGCAGACTGCCAGAAATAGTGCAAATTGAGTCCACTTTAAGGGTTAGGGAATCATGGGAACTGTATTTTATTGTGGCACCAGAGCTCTCTGACAGAGAAGGCTCAATGTCTCAGAAAAAAAAAACCAATTCCCATGATTCCCTAGCACTAACCCTAACCCTAAAAGTGGACTCAATTTGCACTATTTCTGGCAGTCTGCAACCCCCCATGAATAGTCTTAAATTTAAGAATACATACACACACAATTGCTGATCAACTAATTAGATTTACATGACTATCCATCAACAAATATTATCTGATGATGTAGATCCACGAAGGCAACCCAAATAAAATAATTACAAAATAAAACAATTACAAACATAAAGACATAGCATATTTTCTCTCTCCTAATATCACAATATAATTAGCAATTCAGATTTAAAAACATACTAATAGAGCAAGAGCCTCAGGAATACTTTTAAAGATCTAGGTGAATTTTTTAATTTCTTCAGTTGGTACCAAAACATCATAAAGGAGGCACTAGTCATTTTTAATATGGTTATTATACAGCCATATTAGGTACCACCACCAAAAAGTCCTTCTCTTTAATATCACTGACTGCACTTCATTTGGAAGTGATACATGAAACAAGGTATTGGAAAAGGACCTTAAGGTTAGTATATTTATTCATAACTGATCATTTCTTTCTCCTGTGCTCAGTGAAAAAGAAAAGAGAAATGGGCCAAATATACTCTGTGCTTTCAAACGTTAAAGAATAAAAAGTACTGCATCTAAAATGAACTTTTTCTACAAAAAAGGGAATTTGGAGCCACGTGTTAATTTGCATATGCACTTTATTTTATTAATTTGGCTAGTCATATTTTTATCCCATCAATGTGTTCTTTCAAAGTCGATATATGGTATGGGCAAAAGCTATGTAAGGTACTGAATATCATGTGTAGTGGAATTTCTGAAGAGCCAGTCTCTGGCTTCTGAGGTTTCAACCAGGCACAGTCTACCTGCTGACTTTTCTAATATCTTTCAAAACCATAAGAGGCAGGCAAATATTTGGCTACTCAACAATTCTGCAAGCAAGCTGAGGCAGAAAACAAAGGTTAAAATGGGAGAAGCAGCAAAGAGAAACAGAATGAGTGGAGCAGAATGAGCCAGAGAATAAAAGATTCACAAATGAGCAAACATAGCATTTCTTTCAGAAACAGGCATTTTCTTCTTCTGGAAAAAAAGCCCATAGAAACAGCCATCTTTTCTTTTTTCCAAACTATCTGTCATTTCCCCCCTTAATTCTTCCTCTCTGCTCTAAATATTTTTAGGAAAGGGTTCTCGGATTGCAAAGTATCAGCTGCAACCACAACTGCTGAATCAGCATTTCCCTTTCATTCTCCTAGAAAGCAGTCATGTTTGGGTTTTCCTCCCAACTGCATTAAGTATATGAACTGCCTTCACAACTAACAAGGGGAAGCACCCAATCTAATCTACCACAAGCTCTATCAGAGAGAGATGCTAGTCTGTTATAGTGTATCTATGATAGCTTCCTCAGGAGTTAGTACCATCTAATTCACATGCAAGTCACAGCAACATTTTTGTACAAGGTGCCAATTCATCAGAATTCACAGTTCACGTTTTCTTCAAGGTGATCACTCTCATGGCTGTCGAACACACAGATATGCTTGGAAACATTACAATGTGTGTGCCAGGCATCCACACTGCTAGGCACTTGTTTACTAAAAAATAATTATCTCCTCCACCCCAAAATACACTGATAGCAAGTTTGAGTTCAAGTGTGAGACATTCCCCATCACCACACATAAGATATAGCATACAATTAATTGTGAAAAGATGCTACAACATTCACAAGCAGAAACAACTTATTAAAAGAATAGATCTTATCCTTGACAGAACGAATAAAAATTAACCTGTTCAGAGGTAGTATGTATAATTATCAGTTGCAGAGCAACAGACAAATAGTAAGGACTAGATGCTGCCATCATACACTGCTTCTGAGTTTATCTGCAGTATCCAACTGGCAGAGAGAGCAAGTGTGGTGCAGTGGTTTGGGTGTTGGACTAGAACTCTGAGTAGACCAGGGTTCAAATCCCTGCTTGACCATGAAAACCCACTGGATGACCTTGGAGAAGTCACACACTCTCAGTTTCAGAGGAAGGCCATGCCAAACCCCTTTCTGAAGAGGTCTTACCAAGAAAACCCCATGATAGGTTCATCTTAGGGGCACTGAAAGTCAGAAATTACTTGAAGGCACATAATAACAAACGATAAATCAAACATAATATAGGGCTGAAGCTAGCAGATCAGAAAGTAGCCCTCTTGCATTCTGTGTAATCTGGATTGTTTGTTTGTTGTTATCCACCGTTGAGTTGATTTCAACCCATGATGACCCAGTAGATGAGACATCTCCAAGACTCCCTGTCCTCCACTGTTCTACTTAGTTCCTGTAAACTCATACCCGTGATCTCTTTTATAGAGTCCATCCATCTAGCATGCATCCTTCCTCTCTTTCTACTTCCCTCCACCTTTCCCAGCGTTATTTTCTCCAATGTGCTACAATATGCTACAACTTCCTTCACATACCCCCTAAGCAGACGGCTTAAAGGGCCGTCTTGGAGGCAGGGAAGGGGAGGGACAGCTGCACGATCGGCACCCTAACCCCTTCCCCAGCTCATCCTTGGAGCAGCCGGCCCTCCGCACGGCCGGTGCTCCGAGGACGACCTTCCGCCGTAGCATTTGCACGCGCTGCAGCGGAAGAGTCGGCGAAGGTGCGCCGCAGCCTTTTGTGAAAGACTTGTGAAAGGAGCGCCAATTTAGCACTAATAATAATAATAATAATACGATTTACTCCTTTCAGGGGCGGCGAAGCTGCGCCGTGGGACCGAGGCGTGGGGATGCCTCGGTCCCACAGCGCAGCTTCCTGGGGCAGCCCATGGCCGCCCATCTGCTTCCCCCCATAGTTAGTCTCAAAGATGCTATAAGATCCTTTTGAATACTGATTATCTAAGTAGATCTATTAAATCTAAAGTAGATCTATTAAATCAATCAACAATATCAACAATCTGAGATATGCTGATGATACCATAATACTAGCGGAGAACCTCACAGACCTGGAACAACTACTAAGGAAGATCGAAGAAGAAAGTGCAAAGGCAGAAAGAAAACAAAAATAATGACCACAGAGAACTTACACACATTCAAACTGGACAATGAGTAAATAGAAATAGTAAAAGAGTTCTCATATCTGGGATCAAACATTGATCGGAATGCAGCCAGGAAATCAGGAAAAGTTTAAGAATGGGGAGGACGACTATGAAAGCACTAGAAAAGATCCTAAAATGCAAAGATACACAACTTAGCACAAAAGTCAGAATCATACAAGCCATTGTATTCCCTATTACCATGTATGGAGGACAGTCAAGAAGAAGATAGGAGGAAAACCAACGCATTTGAGTTGTGGTGTTGGAGAAGAGTGCTGAGGATTCAATGGACAGCCAAAAGGACAAACAAATGGGTCCTAGAGCAGATTAAGGTAGAAATATCCCTAGAAGGCAAGATGACAAAATTTAGACTGTCATACTTTAGACACATCATGAGAAGGCATGAATCGCTGTAAAAGGCAATAATGTTAGGAAAGGTGGAGGGAAGTAGAAAGAGAGGAAGGCCACATGCTAGATGTATGGACTTTATTAAAGAGACCACAAATATGAGTTTGAAGGAGCTGGGCAGAGCAGTAGAGGACGGCGGGGGGGGGGGGGGGGGGGGGGCTGGAGATGTCTCATTCATAGGGTCGCCATGAGTCGAGATAGGCATCAAGGCAGTTAACAACAACAACAAATTAAATTAATGGAATTTACCTATGTGTTGACACGCAATTCAATGACTGAATCAATAAGTCTACTCTAGTTGAGACTAACCAACAGGATTCAGATCCTATCTTCCATGATTTTGTCTGATCTGTTCTTCAAGCCATGTAAAGGCGTGGCTACCACCAGATGCTATGACAAGGCATTTAACCACTAAATGTTGCATGAAATAATTCCCAGCACCTAGGCAAAATACCTTATCTCACTGTCAACAAATCATTTCCAGCAGTTTTCATGCAAATTCATCTTAATTGTCCAGGGCAGTCTTCTGCAAAACAAACCAATTATAATTGCTCATTCAGTATCAAGCTATTCAAGAGTACTTTGCATTACAATAAAAACAGCTAAAACCAATATATTGTTGCAAGAAAAGCCCACCCTCCCCATGCCATATGTACTGTAAAAACTCAGCTCAGAAGAAAAAGTGAAGTCTGAGGGAGGTGGTGGAAACAGGACAACATTATTTCTGCCCATCAGAAAGTTGTGATGCTCCAACCACGTAAGACCTGGAGACTGACACAGAAAATGAATTGACTAACACCTGGGCTGTCATACCTTGGAGACAACATCATTGGAAAATATGATCATGCTTGGTAAAGTGGAATGCAGTAGGAAAAGAGGAAGATGACACTACAGGTGGGTAGACTCAATCAAGGATACTATGGCCCTGTGTTTTCAAGACCTGAATAAGGCAGTTAATGACCAGGGATCATGGAAGTCCCTCATTCATAAACTGAAGTCTACCTGAGGGCAAATAACAACAAGAACAACTACCTCAGGTTTGAGTGCAAAGGAAAAAAGTGGAAAGCCCTATGCATACTGAGCCTTTGAGCATCACAGTGGCAGAAGGTAACCATTACAAACCCATCTCCTAGATCAGGGGTAGGCAACCTGTCCCCTTTAAGGGCCGAGGAACTTCAGCTCCCAGAATCCCAGGAGCTATTGGCCAACATGGGACTATTGGCCAACATGGCTGAGGCTTCTGGGAGCTGAAGTCCCTCGGCCCTTAAAGGGGAAAGGTTGCCTACCCCTGTCCTAGATTCTCTCAGTGGAGTTCTCTCACTGTGAAGAATCCTTTTTCATACTCAGCTAACATGAGATGGAGACCATATATTAATAGTCCTTTGCACTGGCTGACAATTGAATGTCTCACAAGATAGCAATGTGTCCCTTTCACACATTATCTCAGAAATACAGACAGAAGAAAACACAACCCATCCACATTCACTAAAATGTGAAACTACAATCTCTGAAAGACATTTACACACACCCACACCCAGAAAGACAGTGACACACACGTACAGAAAAAGAAACCTAAGATCTTCAAAATGCCAGGACTGAATTTGCTTTCTCTGCTTCCAGGAACACAATAGAGACAGTGTAGCTCTCTGCCAGTCCCTCATGCAGAGGCTTCATTCCTTTCCCCAAGCGGCCCTGTACTGCGATTATTCACACGTACAATTATTCACACGTCTTGAATTTGCATTCCACCAAAGTAGGGAATTTGGCACCGAATCAGAGACAAACCTAACAATGGACTAAATATAGACAGTGTGTCTAATGGGGAGGAGAAAAAGGCCCACAGCTGCAGGATGCATCTGTCCAGGACCGTGCTTATTAGAGGGAAGCATCCTCTCGCTTTGCTTTCCAAGTTAAGAAGAAAACCGGTTCATAAAGTATGTGCACGCACACACCAACCTCTCATTAGCCTCAACAACCTTTGTCCAAGCCATAACCTTGAACAGCTGTGCACAGAGTCTAAGCTAGACAGCACATTGACATGTCTTTCTGTACCAAGGATTATGCTTTACATACCCTTTTCCACTATGCATCCAACTCTTAAATGCATTCCTATCCAATAGCAAAGGAGACCAAAAAAAAAAAAAATGCACGTAGGCAGCCAAATGGAGAGAGGCTTACCCAGTCCAAATATTCACAGGACAAACGTGTGCTTTCAGAACAAGCTGTATGGCTGAAAGGAGTGCAGAGCTTGACCAAATCCTTTGGTCTGACAGGTAACCTTCAGGCACTTCATTAAGGGCCTTTGCAGACTTCCAGAAATAGTGCAAATTGAGTTCACTTTTAGGGTTAGGGTTAGTGCTAGGGAATCATGGGAATTGTTGTTTTTTTTTCTGAGACATTGAGCCTTCTCTGTCAGAGAGCTCTGGTGCCACAATAAAATACAGTTCCCATGATTCCCTAACCCTAACCCTTAAAGTGGACTCAATTTGCACTATTTCTGGCAGTCTGCAAAGGCCCTAAGTCACAGTCTTTCAGCCTCTTATTCCTTGTGAAAGTCATTTGTTGCTGTTGTGTGCCTTTGAGTCATTTCTGACCTATGCTGACTCTCAGGTGAACCTATTGTGGGGTTTCTTGGCAAGATTTGTTCTGAGGGGGTTTGCCACAGCTAGCATCTGTAGCTGAGAGAGTCTGTTTTGTCCAAAGTCATCCAGTCAGTTTTTGTGGCAGTTTTTGTACTCAAACCATTGCACTATGCTGGCTCTATCATTCACTAATGAAGATTAATTAGAAATGTTGCAAATTGTTAAAGAGTATTTATATCGGAGTGAGAATCCAAGGGTTGGAGTTCAACTCCCAGCAGCCCTTGCTAATATAAACCATGGCGAAGAATACTGGGAGCTGCAGTCCACCAATCCTGCACTATTCCCAATCCTGATTTACACAATCAGCAAAATTATGTGATGTAGTTCTTGACAAACTGTAGTGCTTCAGACTGCAGGTATCAAAGTACATGTGTAAAACACATTCATGAAAAGATTCCTCCACTCATACCTGGTTTTAAAAAGAGAGCTTTTTAAAAAGTTGATATTTTAACGCCACAAGTCATCCTGGAAATATTATATAAGGGTGAGGCATCAGACCCTCAGAGTATGCAAACATGCAAAGCCTCATCTGTAATCTAATGTAGAAAAGCCCAGAAAGGTCAATATTGCATATACAATACTTCCAACCATGTAGCTAGGCTATCAAAATCACATTCAGAGCCAATCATCTGTTTGTCACTGGGAATAAATTTAGAACAGTTTATTTTGACTGTCATAACAAGGGAGTTATAACTGAATTAAAGCTACTCCATGTTGAGAACATTTGCTGCAGAAGAGGGAGAGATAAAAGGATCCTGAGCAGCTAAATATTTCAAGAGATCCTTGTATCCCTCTTCCTCATATCATCCTTTCACGTAACACAATTATAGCAGTTTGTGTGTATGTGCCTTCA